GCTTGCGGACAAGCATGGTACCAACGCCACAACAATAATAATGGGTGGATTTGGATACATAACATAGTAAAATAAGGCGAAACTGTTGAAATGACAAATTTTAAATAACTGGGATGACAATTTTTTGTGTGTTTTACTGTACACCTTTTAAAATTTTGTGCATGTTAACAACCGCTATTCTTTCGCATACTCCCACAGGGTGTCGCTTTCTAAGACCCGCGGGCTCTTGGTGTCGCTGTGTCAGATAGGCGTGTTTTTACTGTACTCTGGGATGCCAGCTACATGTTGGTAATAGATTATTTGCTGCAATTTCTGGGGTAAAGATTAGGAACCATAATATTGAAACCTAAATGGGAGTAGTCTCAAAAACATTAATCCTCTTGTGAGACTTCTTGATCCAATTTCTTATCCTTGTTACTCTTTTATTTCAGGTGTACACGACTGATGTTGGAATGATACAGAAGATTCATATTGGACACAACTGGACAGGCGGTGGATGGTATTTAGATCGGGTACGAATCCGCAAATCCACGGGGAACAAAAGAAAACATTCATCGGATAGGTCATTGTCGATGAATTATGGACAAGCCAAAGGAGCGGAAACCAGTAAGTCACGTTTTCTGTTGACTTATAGTTTAAACAGGTTTGTTTGATGTATGCTCTATGTGATTCATTTCTTACTAAATTTCAATGTACGTGGAACGTCTGTATTGCCCATATTTCTGACAGTCGCATTTAAATTAAAAATAGAGGAAAATGGATTTCAAGTGACATCTTGTTCATGAACGGTGGTTTAGTGAATCTATGCATTCGAAGTTTCATCTGATTCTACGCTAACCTGCGTACTTTATCACACAAATGTCAACCAATTTACGGTCAGTAATCATGCTCAATAAAAGATCTATCATATGGAACCTTGTTGGGTTGTTTCGCTATCTCCATTGTTAGATAAAACAACAATTAAGAAGGCCAGTAGTGTTAGGCAAGATATCTGCTGCCGCGACATTTCTTCCGCAAATCATGCGAAGACATGCCGAACGACCCTACAAGATAAACTTCGCGGAAGCCCTATCCACACGAAGAACGAACCCGGTTCTGTGCGCACAGAAGCAGATGGTGGTCGCTTTGGTCTTACCGTGGAGTTAATCCGCCCCTGCCCCACCTTTACCCATAACATCATTGTAATTTTCGTTCTCCTCTCCCTGCCCCATTCACTCAAACCATCCACCCACACACATCAATTACACCTCCCCATTTCACACCTCCATTTGGATAATGAATTCCAACTTTTGTTCTTGATAATCGTCAGTATTGTTTAATCGGCCTATTAACTTCCTTTCTTCGCATGTCCACGTATTCTAACTTTCCCTCTCCGCCTTATGCCTACTGAAACACACACGCACGCACACATTAACACGTCTTCTTCACCCATTTGCGAACAATTTCCACCCATCTGTATTCCAATTAGGAGATAAAAGTTTTGGTAAACTAGTTACGCTGTCTTGTGAACAAGTTGTATGAATCTCGCCCTTCAATCTATTTGTCACCATACCCGATAAACATATACAATGTCCATTTGTAATTCGCATGAAGTACTTGATGATATGCGGAAGAAATGTCGCGGCAGCAGATATCTTGCCTAACACTCCTGACCGTTTTCAAATTCATTCGAGGAAATCATTGTTTCAAACAATTAAGAAAACACCTCGACCGCAAGGTGTGTTCCCAGCGATGTACATTTAAGATGAGTTAAACTCTTTTTTGTTACACACTTTAGTGTGATGAGCAGCAGACGGGATAAACCCCATAGTCACTAGGACCACGTAAGGCCGCGATAGGTTAGGTGTGGTATGGAACCGGATGAAAGCAAACCCGCCTACCGCCAAAGTTGGGTGGCGGTGTTAGGGCTCGAACCTCGGACCATAGGATCCAAAGCATACCTGTGTCGGCGACCAAACAACTACGCCATCACCACGGTTATTAATAGCAAATAACTGAAAACTAAACGGAATCACAATTCACTTCAAAGTTTGAATTTAATTTCTATATCCCTTATTGTAATGTTTCTCTGTTTCACCTTACATTTGGCATACGTTGAGATGGGCATGTCACTTTTAGAAAATGGATCACAATGAGAGTTGGAAACAGGGTACTGTGTCATATGATCTCGTTTGAAAAAAAGATGAAATAATGCATGAGTAAATGAAGAATTTGCCTCAGATATCATTCTCGTATCAATTCTGATAATGTGTGAGCTGACAGCTGTTCACACTTTTGCTGGGCTGGTACATATTATCAATTTTGAACCCTTTTTCCGAGATTCGAAACCAACGGATGATAATTTTCCCTTTCTAGCAGGAAAGAAAGAACTTATAAAACTGGAAAGAATAATTTTTATCATATTATTCATTACTTGTGTGGAATCAGGGTAATTACAAGCAATGTTTCTAGTGTATAAAGTTTTATACTCTTTTACTTCAATGTCATTTATATATGTTGTGTTTTGCACTAGAGAGGAAAACGTTTGGTGAAAGGTAAAGATCGACATGTGTGACATCTGCTTGGGTTGAAACATACAGGAAGTTGAAATGATATTAAGGGAAACAATCAAGATACGCGTTCAGTAAAACAAACCAGGAGTAAACAAAAATCAATAAAGAAAGATTGTGCGATCAATCTGCAATAGTAAAGCAATGAAACAAAGGTGCTTGTTATTTCCTGAATATTTCCTCTGAGTTTATACATGCAAACACTGCACCAGAAATAATCACTAGCATACTTTTAGCATGATAGCCAAATACAGCAAAAGTAACGATAAACAGAAAAGTATTCATCAAATAGACTGATTTCTAATTTATCAG